AAAATTTAAAATTTTTTTACTTAAATTATCTGAAACATCAATTAATAACATGATTAAATTTTTATTAATATGATTTTAAAATCATTTAATTATATAATTATATATATTTTAAAGATATATAAAATATATCATTATCCACCATGTTTTTATCTTTTATCCTTTTTTTTTTCACATTTGGGTTCGCGCGAACCCAGGCGCAGGGTTCGTCACGAACCCAGCTCCTGGGTTCATTGACGAACTCGGGCGCTAGGTTCCTGGCGACCCCAGTGCTTGGGTTCCGAGATGAACCCAAGCGTGGGGTTCGTTGTGAACCCAGCGCCTGGGTTCGTCGATGAACCCAGGCGCTGGGTTCCTGGTGACCCTAGTGCTTGGGTTCCGAGACAAACCCAGGTGCAGGGTTCGTCGTGAATTCAGCTCCTGGGTTCGTAAATGAGGGATTTTCGGTAAGGATTTTCTGTTTGTTTCTCTGACTGGATGAGGAAGAATTTTCTGTTTGAGGAAGAATTTTTGTTTGTTTCTCTGATTGAATTGGATGAGGAAGAAGACAGTGAAGAACGGTGAAGAATCGGGCAGAAATGTGGTGTTTTGAAACATTATATAGTGGTTTTTTTGTAAATAAAAGGAAGTGTGAGGATAAAATGGGGATATCATGTCAATTTCATTAATTCAAAAGCCGGAAGCTGCCGTAGAAGTAAGAAATGGGAGCTTCCGACCTTTGCAAAAGAAAAGTGAGAAGCTGAGCTTCTCAAAAACTGCAGCCACTTTCGGAAGCTAACCCGTTTGGTGCAGCTTATGCTTTTAGAGTCAAAAAACTCTTCTCACAATCTGCACCAAACAGGCCCTTAAGTTTTTAGTAGCATGGTTATTCAAAGTTTTTGATACGTTAAAATTTATTAGTAAGTATATTAGTTGTTCAAGTATAAAGTAATGAATAAAGTATCATTTTCACAAAAATTATAAGCAAATATAAAAAATAATTAATTTTAAAATTATTTAAACAATTAAAATAAAAATTTTTTTAACTAAAATTAATTAAATAATAATAATTTAAAATAAAATTACCGAGATATGAAGTATAAAACCATCCGAATTGACTATAACCTATCAACATAAAATTTAAATTATTATTATGTTTTAAAGATATTAGTACTTAGGGGACAATATGATTTTTTTATCTTATTTGATATATTTTTTAAATTACACAACATCTATCTTCACATATTAATCTATTATATCTTTATGTAAATCTAAATTGATAAAAATATATTATATTATGTGAAATTCTTTAGTTTACATAAAAAAACCAAGTCTATTTATTATTAATACTACACAAATTACATATTTCCTTCAATGCATGATATATATTATTGATACTATTATGTAAAATCTTCTCACAGTTTCAGTTATTCTTTCCAAGTTAATTTTAACGGTGATGAAATATTAAAAAGCATTAAAAAAAATTTTAAAA